TAGGTAAATGAAAATCAAAACTATAATGAGATACCATCTTATACCTATTAGAGTGGCCATTATCAACAAGACAAGCAATAACAAGTGTTGGAGAGGTTGTGGAAATAAGAGAACCCTCATTCACTGCTGGTGGGAATGTAGGCTGCTACAACCACTATGGAAAGCAGCCTGGGAATTCCTGAAAATTAAGAATAGAACTACCATATAACCCAGCAATTCCTCTCCTGGGTATATACCTGAAAAAAAATCAAAATCATGTATTCGTAAAGATATATGCACCCCTATGTTCATTTCAGCATTATTCACAGTGGCCAAGACATGGGAACAACCTAAGTGTCCTGCAACAGAGGACTGGATAAAGAAGATGTGGTCCATATACATACGCAGCCATAAGAAAGGATAAAATAGCACTATTTGCAACAACATGGATGGACCTTGACAACATTATGCTATGTGAAATACTTCAGTCAAAAAAAGCTAAAAACCATAAGATTTCACTCATATGTGGGCTATAAAACTAACATGCATGAACACAAACAGCAGTGTGGTGTTGCCAGAGGGAAGTGGGTAGAAGGGAAAGGGGATCCTAAAATAAGGTGACAGGAGATTTGACTTTGGGTGGTGAGCACATGGTGCAATATACAGATCTTGTAACATAGAAACCCACACCTGAAACCTATATGTTCATGTTGGCCAATGTCACCCCAATCAATTTAATAAATATTATTTATAAATAAATTATAGAAAGTTTGGTCATAAGTTCTGAAAATTAATATACCAGGCAAATATCAATCCAAATAAGCTAGAGTAACCAATCTTATTAATACAGGTTAAAAAGAAAATCCAGGCAGAAAAATGGGGACAAAGGATATTATATATCATCAGAATAATCATCAGCATAAATGCTTCTGACAATATACCTCAAAATATATAAAGCAATAATTAATGGAACACGGAAAAAATCAGATAAATAAACCACTGGCAGTGAATATTCTATTATATCCCTCTCAAACATTGAAAGAGCAAGCAGACAAAATGAGCTAAGATTCAGAAGATTTGAACAACATGGTTAATAAGCTCAAACTAGCAAATAATAGAAACTTTGATAACCAACAGGGACCATATTACTTTCAAGCACATATATAACTTTTATGGAAACTAAGTATGTACTAGGCCTCAAAGGAAGCTTCCACAAATTCTCTCTATATAAATATATGATCTTTGTTCTCTAAGCATGATGTAAAAAATATTTCAAGGTGCAAAAATATAATATATGACAAGATAAAAATAAGAGGCAATAAAGAAATACTCAGTATCAAATGGAGCTAACTTTTCAACTTGAGAAATTGGTAATTAAAAAAAAAAAACAGAATAGAGGAGAAGGAGAAGAAACAAAATTGTACTATATGAGCAGAAAATGCTGGGGGAAAGTTGAGAAAATAAACTAAACCAAATCCTAGCTCTTTTGAAAAGATTAATAAAATAGACAATTCTTCTGGCAAGATTAATCAGAGAAAAATAAACAAAAAAGCAAATAAATAGGATATAAAATGAAAGGGCGAAAAAAAACAACAGTATTTTTAAAATTATAGATAACACTTTGAAAAGCTATATGCAACAAGGACAGTCTCAAAACAACCTAATACAGAGAAACATGGGAATAGTCATGTATCATTGACAAAAATTTACACAATCATAAGCAGCCGTTCTGGAGAGTGTACTCTCCAGTCATACTGCAGTCAAACATGCACATGCTCTAATACCCAGCAATCTTACTCCTAGACATACACTGTAGACGCAGTGTTGCAGAGACAGTGAAACAATAATGAGATGGAATGACTCAGGTCTGCAGAAAATTACAAAGAGGTGGGAAGACAAGTGATAAAATCTGAGAGTCTATCTTCAACTTTCAAAAAAGCTGCAGTTTAGGGAAGAGAGGCAGACAATGATCTGGAAGCAGGCTCAAGAAGCAAGGAAAACCACTATCCCACAGCCAGCTTTCACATCCTCCTCTCTCCCATCCCTCCAAACGGAACCACACCACAACCTCCGAGTTCATTTACTCTCCATACCTTGGATTCCTCTTCAGGGAATCCCATCTGAGACAAAAGAGGTCCCCAAACCATCGTAGGGTTCTAGTAGAAACTGACAAGTCTAGAGATGCTTTGAAGAGTGGTCGCCAACCTTTCGAACCTCACGGCTACCAGTGGTCCACAGACCACCGGTTGGTGACCGCTGCTTTAGAGGGTTGTTCCAGAGTAGGGGGAGCTCAGTCCACTAACAAAGGAATAAAACCAGTGTCTGCCTTGAACAGATTTATCACTTCAGGGTTTTCTAAACCAGTGGTTCTGAATGGGTAACAATTTTGCCCCCAATGGACATTTAACAATGTCTGGAAATATTTTTGGTTGTCACATTGGGTAGTAACAATGGGGCAGGTTGCTACTGGCATCTAGTGAATAGATGCCAGGGACTACTGCTAAACATCCTACAATGCGAAGTGTAGCCTTCCACAACAACCCAAAATGCCAATTATGTCAAGACTCAGAAACCCTACTCTAGACCTGAGGAGCTTTTGGTTTCTTTCATACAAGCAAACAACCCCATCCACACCAGTTATCTACGCCAGTTCTGAGTGAGTGTGGCTAAGGGTCCAAACCAGTCAGTCTGATGAATTCTATTCCAAATCTGCTCAGATAGGTCAGGGGGGAAAATAGACAAAAAGCTTGAAGCTAGCTAAATGTTAAAAGTTAAAAAGAAAACAGAAATTGTGTCATATATCAACTATCTTGGCACAATTACCAAAAATGGGTGCAAGCAAAAGGATTGTTCCTTAAATTTGAGAAAACAGAAAATGCAACCTTTTCATTTGGAATAATAACACTTTATAAGAAGTTCAAAAGCTGTACCCACTGCCAAAACATTCCTTCGGTAAGGGGCTTCCATTCTCTTGATTGCAAAGGGAAGATAATTTAAGTGAGTTTTGACTACCTTGTAAGTGAGAATCGGTATGCCCAATTAACTTAGGACAAATGAAAAGCCCAGAAAAGGGAAGTTGCTCTGAATCACAAAACTAGTGAAAAGCAAAGCTAATTCACATCCAGGAAAACAACTGGAATTAAAATCACCCAAGTTTGTTTTTCCTATGAAGTTGCTTGAACATATAATAATACAGAAAATCAACAAAACCTGCTCTTCCATGCATCCTGCACCAGGCCGGATGCAGCTGTGCCAGGTTAAGATAGAGAAAGACCCCTCCTTCATAAAATTCTCAGCTCTCTCAGAGCTCACGGAACTGGTCGCGTTTCTCTGCTCTATCAAGGGATGAAACTTCTGCAAGTTAAGAAGCTTGAGGGCAAGTTTATGTCTCTGCGGAAATCTCCTTTTCTTAACATTAGCACTTATACATTATAACAAACATTATTTAAATTTTTCTATCAACCGAAAAAATTAAATCTGAGCGATCCCCTTAGCAGTGCATCTGTCACCTTCAGTCAAATAAAATCACTTCAGAATCTCTCTCCTCTTGTTCCTATCCTCAGGTCTGGGGACGATACTGCTATTGAAGGAGGAGCCGGAATCCACACCCGCATCTCACTTAGATGCCATGACCCGTAGAAATCGCCAGGCTTCGGCATGCAGTGCAGGCTCCACAGAGACTGAGGCTCACAGAAATCACTGCCTTTCCAGAGACAAGTGGAGAAAAAACTCACTCGGTCTGCATAGTCGATTCTCAAACCCCAAAGCAGAGATTGGAGAAGATACCACTTCTTCCTGGTCCCTTGGTTCTTTCATTTTTATAATAAACAGTTACCTAGTCTCCTAACCCAGAAGACAGCAGAAGAAGGAAATGTTGACAAAGGTTTTCTGAAACTGTATTTAAAAAGGAAATGGTTTATAAATACAATTCACACTAGTGTTAGTTTCTTTAAAGTGTTTATTTTTTTTTAAATGTAGAAGTAAAAATTTATCAACTGGTTTCTCTTAAAAGCACTGCTTTGATTTTAAATACATAATAAAGAGCCTCCCTTGTTCTCTTTCATTTTGAAACTCTACCTTAAATAAAGTATCCTGACTCAAGAACCTAGGAAAATGCTTGAAATGAATACAATATAATCAGATCATAATATTATTAAATTTGAGGGTAACAAATTGATCCATGGTTTATTCAAACCTTCCTAACAACTACACATAAAAAAAAAGTCAGTTCACTAAAATGGCTGATCTCATTCTTGGCTCCCAGATATAGTCTCAAAAGTTTAATAAGGACATCTTTGATACTTCTTTAATATGCTAGTCACTCTACTAAAAATTTTGCATGTATTAACTCATTTAATCTTTACAACAATTCCAAGTAGTAGTTATTATTATTAGTTTATTATGTTACTGGTAGCCTGGTGCACAGATTCGTGCATATTGAAAGGAAATTAATTAGAAGGTGGCGGGCGAGGATGAGATGGGGCCAGACACACTCTGGAGCCAACCTCCAGCGGTCCCTCCCAGCTGGCTGCACCTGGAGGTCAAAGGGCGTCTGTGGAGTGAGTGGGTTCCTCCAGCAGGTGAGGTCCCCAGTCCTGGCCTATGGGGATTAGGCTGAAACTGGCAGTCTGACATGCCCCAACGGGTCCCAGAGTGCAAGAGGACACTGCAAAGTTGCTGTCACTTGGCAGCTCCTGTGTGGAGCGTCTGTCCCCTGGTGGTCAGTGTGTGTCATACCTACCAGCCAGTCGGCAGGTCACTTAGCCTTTCATACATGTAGATTATTGGACTGGATTGTTATTCTCCTTTTACAGATGAGAAAACAGGGCATGGAGAAGTTGAGTAACTTGCCCAAGATCATTCATTTAGTACATGGGGAGCTGCAGCTGGACTCCAGACAGTCTGGCTCTAATGCCACCACACCATGACTGGTAGTCTCTGATACAGACACTCAGTAGACTCCTCCTTCTCCCTCTAAGGCAGGTTCACTGCTATGTTCCCAACCACAAATTCAAACTCACATCTCTCATCATTTTCACTGCTTCCCTGGTCCTCCCGAGTCTTCTGGCACACATTGCTAGCCTTCTTTTGATGTAGACCAAGACATTGGTGTCTCGTCCTGAAAAGGAAGATATAGAACACCCAAATTAAAAAATTAAAAAGAAACAAGAGCTTTCAGCTTATCCTCAGGAAGACATACAGAGGCCCTTTTGCCAGGCGTTTGAGGTAAAACCTCAGAGAGAGAAGACTGCTCCTTAGTTTTTCCTTACTTCCAGGAGAATTGACAACTGTGCTAACGGAGTAAAGTCATAGTCCTTAGAACTTCCGAAGGTCAGATCATGTGACTGACTCTCTAATCCATGCTTTTGAGTTAGGATGTTCAGTGTTTGATAAATAAAATCATCTGCCACAATGTGCTGGGAAAACGAACATACCCACAATGCATGTGGTTTACAAGCAAGAATTCCACATTCTGCAAGTGTGCATGTTTTTGGTGAAGAAGCAAGAGGTGAATCTCAGGTTGCATCCTAATGAACATTTTTTTTTTCCTTCTTGACATTAAGTCTGGAGAAGCCTCATTTTGAACTTCTGTTTTATATTATTCTTCCCCAAACATTACTGACATCATAATCATCTCCAGGTCCCCAAAGCAGTCCATTTTAGATGGCAATGTAATACATTCCAGATATGACAACAGAGTATGCAACAAAATGAAAAACTTACCCTAGTGTTAGAGAAAGCACTGACAAGCTAAACAGTTATAATAATAGTCACCAAAATGGCCCTTAAAAAGTACATTAACAACTTCTTATCTTAAAATCTTTTATTTAATTATATGTCCTTTTGAGTATGTTTCCAGACCAGTGAGAACATACATGTGCTTAATTCTCAATAAAATTACCATGTTTGAGAAAAATATGACACACCTGTTATAGATTAAGTACATGTATAATATGCAGCTATTAAAAGATGTTAAGGCTAAAGTCCTAACTTCTCAAGTTTTAAACAATGAGAACAAGATGTGTGCTGAAAATCTGCCAAGTACCTACAAATTATTTTAAAGATGTGATTATATTTTTTTGGATATATATAGGCGATAGGTTGAAAGAATTTAATATACAGAAAAAAAGAAAGAAAATTTCTTATAGGCTAAGTAATTTCATGTATTAATCCTCTTTTAGTTCACAAAATGACACTTACTAATATGTCTTCAAAACTTATTTATACATATCTTTTAAAAGCAAGATACATTTGGCGATTAGAGACTTGATTTACATATACTTACTGCAAAATATAAATAAAAACCTGTGTATTATTGTGAAACTACTCATGTATTATATACACAGGCCATAACGAAAAGATTTCACTGCACCTCAGTCACAGGGAGTAATGCACTTAGTTCCTGCACCAAATCCAAGTATAATACTAATATTTAATTTTATAATCGCAAATATGAAGGAGATACACTCTTACTCTCCAAGTGGCAGGAGGGGGAAATGAGGCGAGAGAAATTCTACCTTACGGAAACAACCGAAGTCAGGTTGGATGATGAAAATGCTCTCTCATGAGGATTACTAAATTTTGGTTTAAACAATCAAAAAACTGACAAGTCCGGGGATCGAGGGGGGCACTTCTGAAATGATTTTGTAGTCCTGTTTTTATACCATTCCCCCAAAACATCACTGACTCTCAGTTCAGTGTACTGCAGTTAAAGGTCTCATTTTAAAGTTATCTTAAATAAAAGAAGTCATTTTAAAGTAAAAATAAGATAAATTAGGAACTAGTTCTCTTCCTCTTTCTCTGGTTCTTTCTCTCTGGAAATCAACACCAGTGCTTCTTAAATAAGAGCTAAATATTGAGACAATAACCAATAACTGTTATTTTCTTTCTTTTTTTAAAATATATTTTATTGATTTTTTACAGAGGAAGGGGGAGGGATAGAAAGTTAGAAACATTGATGAAAGAGAAACATCGATCAGCTGCCTCCTGCACACTCCTACTGGGTATGCGCCTTCAATCAAAGTACATGCCCTTCACCTGAATCGAACCTGGGACCCTTGAATCCACAGGCGGACACTCTAGCTACTGAGCCAAACCAGTTAGAACTGTTATTTTCTTAATGGTCCTATTTCAGCCCATGCTATAGAATACCCATAAAATAGAACATTTGATAACATTAACACGAACTTAAGTGCTTTTCCCAATTAGGACTTAAAGAAGCACTTGGTAAACAGAAATATGAAAAAAAAAATCTAGGGAGAAAAAAAGGTTACCACTATTGGTTATTGCCATTTACTTTTGGAATTAGGAATCTATGAACAGAAAAGAGAATCTGAAGAGTAATGAAGCTATAAGTTAACTGTGTACTGCACTCTTATGGCGGGGGGGGGGGGGGGAGGATAAAAAAAGGCAAAAACCAGTATTTATCCCCATCTAGGAGAATCATATTTTGAACTGGCCTTAAAATTTGTTCTGATTAATCATGTGACAGTTCTGATCCCCAACACCTCAACCTGGAGGAAACCTTACTGTGCTGGGCTTCGTACTGGGATCCATGATGCTGCAGCTGCTGAGAGCGCCGGTAGCAGCCATCTCCAGCCTTCAGGGCCTGCTTAAACAGCTTTTCTGCTTCGGCAATGGTTGTTGCTTCCTCTTCAGCCAAGAGAATATAAGCAGTTGCACACCTGTCCATTCAGATAACAGCCACCATTAATTACAAATCCAAGGGCATTGTAATAGCTGTAGTAATGCATGCAGAAGGGCAAGAAGTTAACGCCAAAACATGCATAGCGGCCAACTAGTTCATGCACCCGTTTGTAGCTGTTGACACAAAATAATGGTACAAAAGAAATGTGTGTATTTTAGCTTAAGAGCTAGGATGCACAGTGTTAGGAGCATGGGACTCTGTCCCTTATTAGTGTGTCACTTTGGGCAAGTTATTACTCTGCCTCCCGGATGGAGAGAGAACAACATGGGATGTTTGTTTACAATGTTGCTGTGAAGGTTAAGGGGATGCACGTAAAGTGCTCAGTATGCATGTGGTACATGCTCAATAATGTCAACTAACAACAGTGATACAACAGCTGTTATTAAATATCTCTTCCCAACACTCAAAGTAGGAGGTACTGTATATAGGTTTATATACAGTACCTCCTACTTTGAGTGTTGGAAAGTTTATTTGTGTTTATTAAATATAGTCTCTATTTTCAAACACAGATCCAGAAATCAAGTAAGTTACTCATTGAAAAAAACAGCACTCAAGATCTCATCACAGTTAGCACTTATTTTTATGTCAGAGAACACTAGAACCTCCAGGCATTGCTGTTTCTGAAAGGCGCAAAATCTGATTCAGCCTCAGTAGCAAACAAGAGTTAAATCTCATGCCTTTAACAATAACAGCTACCACCTGTTGCTTAGTACCAAGCACTTAATATATACTGTCTCATTTAATACTTTCAACAACCCTCTAAGGTGGGAAGCCAGAAAAGATAAGCAGTTAACTAATGAACAAGGGGAACTCTTGGGAACTGAAACCTTCTAAATCCCATAAGAACAATCCACCTGCCGGAGAAAAGGAATGTAATGGAGAAATGCTGAGGCCCGAGCAGACCCCACAGGTCCTCATCTGCACACGTCCCTTTGTTTCCTTCTCCTCCTCTGTCTCTCATGGTCATTTCCCTACTTAACAGAGCCCTCATCAGACCACAGAGAGAAAGTTAACAGAAAGAAAAACCAAATGCTACTTTTGCTGCTCATAAACTGCATTTGCTAGCTGGGTAAAGGAGGCTGAACTTATGGCTAATGTGAGGTTTTAGGTCACTAGTTCATCTTAGCCTTGAGGAGGGGTCTTAGAAGTTCCTTAGCCAGTCCATCCTGTTCGGGAAGGACTGGTCAATGAAGCTTAAACAGAATGTGGTGAGAGAGGGATGGAAACACCCAGGAAAAAAGCTGTAAACCAATTACTCTGGAGGGCAGTAGATATAACTTGGCAAGACCAATAATGATGTCGAAACTGCCCAATAATTCACTAGAGAAAAGAATGGTATAGGCATCAGGAAACAATATTCAAGGCTTCAGATACCAACATATAAATATGGATCAAGGGTAATGAAGTGAAAATCAAGATTATAATATGAGTGGTAGATACAATATATGAGGAATTAACTGTAAGATTATAGTTGGTGGACTGAAAACTCAAGACAGATTGGGGCTAGCTCGCTTGCTTTGGTCACTTATATTACAGACTAGTGGCCTGGTGCATGAATTCGTGCACATTGTAAGGAAATTAATTAGAAGGTGGCCGGCAAGGTGGGACTGGGCTAGATGGACCCAACAGCCCTGGAGCCAACCTCCCACAGTCCCTCCCTGGCCGGTCGCACCTGGGGCAGCGCCGTGGTTCAAAGGGTGGCTGCAGAGTGAGCAGGGTCTCTCCAGCAGGTAGGATCCCTTGACCTGGCCTGTGGGATCAGGCCAAAACCAGCTCTCTGACATCTGGAGGGGTCCCAGATTGCCAGAGGGTGGTTCTCGGATGAGAACCTCAGAATCAGGCTCCCTCCTCTCTGGTTCCAGGGTGTGTCACCCAAGAACTGCAGCTGCCAAGTCACTGCAGCTCAGCAGCTCCTGCTTGAGCATCTGCCCCCTGGTGGCCAGTGAGCGTTACAGCTACTAGTTGGAGCATCTGCCCCTTGATGGTCATTGTGTGTCATAGCTTCCGGTCGAACAGTTGCTTAGCCTTTTATGTATTACAAATAGTATCTTAGGAGGAGAGGCAGAGTAGCACTACTGGCCAAGAAAACATACATCTATGCGAAATTTTATGGGGTAGAAACATGCTAAGAGCTTGTGAGTGAAGGAGAAAAGAAACAGCAATAGAAGTACTAATGGTTGGGCAATACAGAACAGACTGCTCAGCTTGATGGAAGATACAGATGATGCATCCTTGTCACAAAACAATGCACATACATGAGGTGATGGGGGCGTCGACCATCCAGATATCTGATAGAAGTCTCATTTGGTTAGAAGTAGAGCACCCGATAGGTGCTTGACTTACTTTGGTAACAATTTTATCTCCCAGATGGTAGAGGAAGCAATTAGGGGAACTTCAACTCTGGACCTAATTCTGACCAAGAAGAAAAAAATAGTTGGTGAAATGGAAATCGATAGGAACATTCAGAGAGAGTTTCTATGTCATTTGGAATTGGGACTAATCAAAGAGGGTAAGGTGAACTTCAAAAAATTCAAAGAAAAGAGGCATGATTCAATGACATGAGACGCAGGAGGAAAATGGTTTAAGAAGGTTGGGCAGTGTCCAAATGTCCAACTGTAACTACAATCACTATGATCCTCTCAGGAAGAAAAGAGGGGTGATGATTAAGTAACCAACATAGCTGCACAGAGATCTCCACAAGATCAGATTTTTAGAGGACATGTAAAAAAGATGGAAACAGGGCGCGTAATGAAGGACTATAAAAGAGTGAAATGAGCTTATAAGAATAATGTCAGGAGAGCTAAAACTTCAAATGAGCTTAAGCTTACAAAACAAAATAAAGACAAAACAAAAAGTGCTAAAGACAACCATCTATTCCCTGTTTTTAAATTATGTTTAAGGCCTTATCACCATCCCCGTTTCTCTAAGATCATCACAAAAAATAAATGAACAAAACAGGCAAACAACAACACAACAACAACATTAAAACAAGGAAAGTTTATAATTAGGAGCAGCAGATAAAGAGAAAGCAGTATTTTCTAATTCCTATTTTGTTCCTGGCTTCTCCATTAGGGAGAATGATCGTCAGAATGAAAAAGGGAGAAGAAATTAAACTCTAAAATAGGTAAAAAGATGTCATAGCAAATAACTAGTCTATCCTAAATCGACTGCTATACTGGGATGGGCAAATCCCAGGAAGCCAACAAACATAGGCAGGCCAAGGAATAGTTAAGATCTCACAAAGAATGGGGAAGTACTAGAAGATGAGATGACAAATGTAGGATAAATGTTTAAAAAGGGGAAGAAGGCAGACTTCCCAAATGATAGAACAGTGATTTGGAAAAATATTCTAATGAATTGTGAAAGGGATAGTCTCTGAGCATTTTAAAAAGAGAGCGAGCACTGGAGCTAGCTTAAGTTCACTAAGACTAAACAAATCAATTTGCGTTAGCTTAATTTACTCTAATAGATTTACTACCCAGTAAAGATCCACAGCTACGACTGGCACCCTTAAAATAAAAATGGAGGAGTATGAGCTGAATCATGGTGGCTTAGTAATTAACTGAACAATACCAAGGGATGATGATTTCTACATGTCATGTCCCAGGGATAGAGCCCTGACGCTGCTATTTTTATCAGAAACATGGATGACACACAGAAGGCAGGCACATCAATTTTGTAGATGACAAGAAACTGGAAAATAAATATGCTGCATAACAGAATCAGAAATCACATAGATCAACAGGTTATAATGGCAGGATTTCCAACTCTCGAGTATTTTTTTTTTTTCTTTCTGAGAACGCTGAAGATGATTCTGTAACCTTCTTCAGAAAAAAAATCATAAAATAGTTTAACAATGACCACTTGGCCGGGAGAGTGTCGAGGTGATTCAAGCACCAGATGGGTGGCGGAGCTAAATGACCTTTAAGATCTCTGCCAACCCTGAGCTTTTATGACTCTAACTTCAAGAATCTTTCTCATTTTCTGAGATCTCCAGAAGAGATTTCCCAGTCTTCCTTGGTAACCCATAGATTGTTTAACAACACCAAGCATAGCCCTTCCTCTTATCTTTGCCTTGATCTTGAAGTATTTTTAAAGTGTAATTTTTCACCTTACGTTTTTATTATGATTTCCCCACTAGCAGAAGTTCTATCTAGAAATTGTGATGATACAGATGAGCATTCCACATCTGTAATAATTTCCCTGTCAAATGTTTTAGATATGCAAAGAATAGTATTTATTTATATACTCACAATATCCCATGGGTAGCCCTTGAAGGATTTAATTTAGCATCACAGCAAACCACTGAATTGCTCTCTAAAATGACTAAAACCACCTTCACAAAGTCTTTTTTTTATAAACAAATGTCCCTCAAATAATCCTCAAGTTCAAATGCATAGTTTAATATCAGTATCCTATCAATGGCAACTCTATACATTTAGCAAAGAATAAGATTTCCCTTTTAAAAGCAAGATTTTCCCCACTTACTCATTTATTTCTAATGCTTCATGCGCTGCCGAAATTCTAGCTTGGGGGTTTCTCTCTCTCCAGGCTTTCTGCATTACTATTTTTAAAAAAGAGAAAAAAAAAAACAAGTTAATCAATACATATAATTAAGAAAGCTCAGTACAGGACAATAGCTGAATTAGTAGCATTAGGCTTGGATTACAGGGGAATTTTTCAATACCAAGAGGATCAGCCCAATCCTCCAAAGTCACACAAACATATTCTAACTTGCTATTCAATTGTCCTCCAATTGCAGATATCAAAACTTTCTTATGCTCATAAAACTACAGATTTAAATCTATAAACCACTAGACTTGTCTCAACAGACTTGGGTAGTAGTTTGTACATACTACTAATGCACATTGTCATAGACTAATACATGCATTAGCTATTTGTAATACCTTTCAGTTTTTAATGGAATACTAGTACAAAGGTGAACCTTATGTGTGGAATGCTGGTATTTCCCACAAAATATTGTAATATCATGTATTTACATGGGGACCATGTTGGAACATTCATTTCATAGATAGTAGACATTTCTTTTAGTACTTATAATTTGTGCTAAAAACAGTGTTTCCAAATTCACTTTGAATAAATTTTTCTACAAATTTATACAGGTGTAAACAAAACAGAGCTACAGATATAAACAATACAGAGCTATCTGAAACACTAACACTAGATTTGTCTCAACAGACTTTGCAAGGAAAAAAAAACAGAAATAAATCTTACAGACTATTTTATCTTCTATAATATTTGAAACGATCTTGATTAAAATTTCTTAATCAAGAAGCACTCTAAACATATTTAATATTTATTTTGCTCATTAATGTTGCTTGTTGTTAAAGTATATTGCACACATTTTGAGATGACATTGCTCTAATTTCTTCCTTCTACACAGACACAACATAATTTCTTTTTTATTATTATTATTTTTTGTTGTTTAAAGTAGTATATATATCTCCTTTCTTCCCCCATTTTGACCTTCTCCCAGCCTCCCCCACACAACATAATTTCTATTAGTCATTTCCCCAAACATCTGCCACAAGCTTTGGATATTAGCACATTTCAAAACCATCTGAGAATTATCAGTTGGGTCAGAAAAAAGTACTTTAGGCTTTTAACAGGTGTACCTGTTTCCAGTGTTTTATGCAAACCTAGTTTTCATATATCAAAGTAGTTTGTGAGTATATTGTGGGAAGCTCAATGCTTGAAATATTTTTTTACTATGATGTTCCACCATGGCAAAGAGTACCATTTTAAAAAGAGTAACAATCTCCTTATTTAACTTGTTCTATAATTTCTTTATCTTCTCAGTTATTTTCTTAGGAGTATGTATGTATTCCCTTTCTTAAAGATTTTTTTTTTTACCTATTTACTTTAAGTTTAGTAATATAAAAAATAATAGTAGGATTATTTATAACTCAAGCAGTGTCAAATGCATGCTCAACAAATTTTTTTCTAGAATGGAAAACAAATATGGATTCCACTTGAATGGGATGCCCATATACGCATATAAATCTCTATAATATACTCTTTAACCATTTGAATCCACCGACTCCCAATTTCTAACTAGAATATCATTAGGAAAACATGACCTTTCATTCTATCTCAATTAAGGATTTAGCTTCATATAAGATTTATAAATATTCAAGACATGTAAATCCAACGTTGGAATATTTTAAAAATGATATTTTAAATTATAATGAGGACTTATTTCTAATTCACTACCTCATTGTAATAGAGCCTTTATTTAGGTATCAGAATACTGTGTTCCACTAATCAATCTCCAATTTAATTTTTATTTGTGTTATTAAATCATTTTTTCAATTACAGTTGACATACATTATTATTTAATTTCAGGTGTACACCTCCCTGATTAGACATTACATAATTTACTAAGTGATCATCACAATAAATCTCACACCCATCTGACACCATATATATAGTTTTAGAATATCATTGACTATCATCCCCATGACTACTTTGTAACAACCAATTTGTACTTTTTTTCTTTTTTGTTTAAGGTATTACGTATGTGTCCTTACCCCTTCATTACTCCCCTGCACTCATGCCCTCACGCCCCCTGGTGTCTGTGTCTGTTGGTTAGGCTTATATACTTGCAGTCCTTTGGTTGATCTCTCCCTCTTACCCCCATCCTCCCCTACCTTCCCTCTGAGTTTTGATGGTCTGATAGATGCTTCTCTGTTTCTGGATCTGTTTTTGTTCATCAGTTTATGTAGTTCATTATATTCCACAAGTGCAATCATGTGATATATATCTTTCTCTGACTGGCTTATTTCACTTAGCATAATGCTCTCCAGTTCCATCCATGCTGTTGCAAATGGTAACATCTTTTTTACTGCAGCATAATATTCCATTGTATGGATGTACCACAGTTTTATTTTTTTATTTTTAAATATATATATTTTATTGATTTTTTACAGAGAGGAAGGGGGAGGGAGAGAGAGTCAGAAACATCAATAGGAGAGAAACATTGATCAGCTGCCTCCTGCACACACCCTCTGGGGTGTGCCCACAACCAAGGTACATGCCCTTGACTGGAATCGAACCTAGGACCCTTGTGTCCGCAAGCCAATGCTCTATCCACTGAGCCAAACCGGTTAGGGCTATACCAGTTTTTTAATCTACTCATCGCTGATGGGCACTTAGGCTGCTTGCAAATCTTAACTATGGTGAATGGTGCTGCTATGAACATAGGGGTGCATATATCCTTTCTGATTGGTGTTTCTAGTTTCTTGGGATTTATTCCTAGAAGTAAGATCACTTGGTCAAAGGGGAGTTCCATTTTTAGTTTTCTGAGGAAACTCCATACTGTTCTCCAGTGGCTATAATTTGGACTTCTTAATCCCTTCACCTTTTTCACCTCTCCTATCCCCCTAATCTCCTCCCATTTGGTAACCATAAAAATGTTCTCTGTAACTATGAGTCTGTTTCTGTACTGCTTGTTTGTTTTGTATTTTTTAGATTCAGTTGTTGATAGATATGTATTTATTGCCATTTTAATGTTTATATTTTTTGCTTTTTTCCTTCTTTTTTAAAAAAAAATCCTCACCAGAGGTTATGTTTTTATTGATTTTTTTAGAGAGAGAAAGAGAGAGAGGGAGAAACATCGATGTGTTGCCTCCCACCAGGATCAACCCGGGACCAAACTCAAAACCTGGTTATGTGTCCTGACCAGGAATTGACCCAAGAACCTTTGGTGTATGAGACAATGCTCCAACCAACTGAGCCACACTAGCTTAGGCTTTTTCTTCTTCTTAAAGAAGACCCTTTTAACATTTTATGTAATGAACTCAAAGTTTTTTCTGATCTGGGAAGCTCTTTATCTGTCCTTCAATTCTAAATGATACCTTTGCTGGGTAGAGCAATCTTTATTATAGGTCCTTCTTTTCATCACTTTGAATATTTCTCACCAATCCTTTCTGCCAAGGTTTCCCTTGTAAGTAACTAATGACCTTTCTCCTGCTGCTTTTAAGATTCTCTGCCTTTACCTGTTGCATTTTAATTATGATATGTCTTGGTGTGGGTTCATCTTGTTTGGAATCTGCACTTCCTGGGCTTGTATGTCTATTTTCCTCATCAAGTTAGGGGAGTTTTCTGTGGTTGTCTTTTCAAGTAAGTTTTCAATTTCTGCTCTCTCTTCTCCTCCCAGCACGCCCATGATCTGAATGTTGGAATGCTTGAAGTTGTCCCAGAGGCTCCTTAAACTTTCATATATTTTTTTTTAAATTCTTCTTTCCTTTTGCTATTCTGATTGGATGTCTTTTAATTCTTATCTCCCAAATTTCTGATTTGATCTTGGGCTTTATCTACCCCATTGTTGATTGCGTGTAATTTATTCTTCGTTTCAGTTAGTGTATTCTTCCTTTTTGACTGGTTCTTTTTCATTTTCTCTATCTCTGGTTTTATGTTTCCTATTCCTTGGTTGAAATTCATCTACTCTTCCCCTAAATACACTGAGCATCCTTATAACCAATGTTTTGAACTCTACATCTAGTTGATTGCTTATCTCCATCTTATTTGGTTCTTTTTCTGGAGTTTTGTTCTGGTCTCTCATTTGGGGCATGTTTCTTTGATTCCAATTTTGGGCAGCCTTCTTGTGTTTGTTTCCATGTATTAGGTAGGGCTGCTACATCTCCCATGCTTGGTAGGTGTTCTATAGGATTCAGTGGTACTCCCTCCCTGATCACCTACTCTGAACATTGAGGTACACCCCCATCCCCCCCAATGTGGTCTGTGTACACCTCCTAGGGTAGTTGAGCCTTGATTGCTGTTGGCATATCAATGAGAGGGATTTTTCCCCAGGCTGATTAGCTGCAAGGACTATCTACATCCACCAACTTGTGACCACTGTGGAGGATCAGCTGTGCAGGGTTCAACCTCAAAGAGCAGGACTTTCTTCAGCAAGGCTCTGATGCCTGCTAAGTACACCCCTTGAGTGTGTAACTTGTGGAGGTGTTTGGATGGTAATACTTCGATGTGTTCTGAAGCTGTCCATTGGGGTCTTCTGGGAGGTGTAAGCCAAAGTCAGCTGCTGCCCATGTTCTGCCCAGGGCCACCAGCATGAGCTACAAAGGAATCTTCAGAAGGCTGCTACATGTCCTAGACTGAGGTGCCCTGATGAGGCCAAGCTGTGAACCAAGTTGGCTGCTACTAGTGCCAGGCCTAGGGCCACTTAGTGAGAAGTATGGGGCTCAACGAGGACAGATACTGCTTGTTTGAGAGATTTTAGGAAAATCTGCAGCAAGGGCCAAGACAGGCCATTCGTATGAAAAAACCACTGGAAACAGCTTGGGTGGGCCCAAAAATTGGGTGGTGTGGGGCCTCAGGGAATCACCAGGGCAGGCAAGCGGTGTGAGCCAGGTTGATGGAGTCTCCTATGTGGCACCTATCTGTTGGCTCTGTGGGGGAAGGGCTCTGAAAATTAACAATGGCCTCTGCCAGCACTTCTGTCTGTGAGAATGCTGCTCCCCCAACCCCCAGCTCTTATCTCAATGCCAGACCATTCAGTTCCTTCCATATGTGCTGGTGCCTTCTAAGCTGCTGCCCCAGCACTGGAGGTCAGTGGGAATGAGTGAATCATGCACTGGCCCTTTAAGGGGAACTCTCTGGGACTCTAGCCCTCTGTCTCCCTCAGCTTAAATCCCCACTGGTTTTTACAGCCAAAAGTTTTGGGAACTTCTTTTCCTGGCACTAGAACCCTGGCCTGGCTGACCTGGTGTGGGGCTGGGACCCCTGGCTCCTCAGGAGGACCTCTGGAGCTGACATATCCCTCCCAATCTGCCACAAGTGGGTACAGGACCAGCCCGTTTCACACATCTCCACCCCTTCTCCCAGATTTGACGTGGCTTCTTATTTAATTCCCTAGCTGTAGGACTTCCATTCAGTCAGATTTCAGGCAGTTCTGAATGATATTGTTCTGAAGGTTAGTTGTAATTTTGATATGGTTGTGGGAGAAGGCAGTCCCATGTTTAACTATACAGCCATCTTGTCCAGAAGTACCTTGGGGTTTTTATAGAGCAGATATTCTAAAAGTAATAAGCTTACTACTTATTAAACAGAATTCAAAAACACACACAAACAAACAAACAAAAAACCTCTCACTCAGGAACTAACTAAAGGATTTTCCATACTTGCATCTGCAGGGCGCAGATGGTCCGAGTCACAAGTAAAGAAAGTCTGGTGGTCCTGGGCAGAGAGATTCATGTCATAGTAAGTCAGAGGTTCTCGTCCTGTCACCCAAGTGTATCTATAAAGGGGAAATAAAAGAGTCAAACACCTTTGAGAAGGGAAAGCAAAGCCTACAAAACATTATTCTTCATAGGAAGTGAAATATAAACCATTAACTGAGTATTAAAACAGTTTGCCAATGAATAAAAACATACATATTTTTTAATCATCTTATTTTTTCTTTAGAAAAATATAAAGTAAACATTTTCCCATATATTTGTGGGTTAACACTTCACTAGCACTAGCTAATGAAAACCTTCCCTAATTAATATTATAAACAGAAATATTATAATATTTCCCCAAAGCTATGACAATTCGGTTTGCCTAATTACTGTGCAAAATTAAATTTCAACATAACTTCTGTGGCATCTTTATAAGCATGTTCCAGGTAAGCTTCAAAATATTTTGTCTGAATAATATATAATGAAAAGAATGTCTATAATAGAAAATTTCCAAAGACTACGTATTTTTGTACATTATCCTAATTTCAATGCTAAAATATTTATACAAGAGAAAAATCAAAACATTTTAGGACTGTATCAAAGAATAGAAGCTCTAAACAGACTCTTACAATGACCCCTAAATGAACCAGCAAAAACATTTGCTGCTGTCTTCGCTCTCTGAACTACTCATTTGTTTCCAAACTGTCAAAATGCTTACCGATTATATTCAGCACCCCGAAATAAATTTAGTGGATTTCGCCATACTTTGCATTCTGCAAAGAAGAGAAATATGAAAATGTTACACATAGTTCAGAGACACTACTGCTACAAGCTAATTAATTCAGCAAAACACCCTTCCTGGCATTGATAAGATAATTTTATTCTCTATTTTCTACAAGGGAAGCAACATGGAAAAACTGGGTGATTGATTGATTAATCAGGAAATGTAGCTCAGGCACCAGGATTTTGAAAAATTTTACCTAATCTCTCTGAGCCCCAGTTTCTTCATTTGTTAAGTCAAGTTATGTGCCAAAATCAGCTAGTTTATAACTTCTACAATCATTTCAAGAGGTCTAAATATTCTATAAGTTTATTTATAAAGTTATAGGTAGAAGTACTTTCTGTTACTCTAAAATATATCTTATAACTTTATATATATTGATAATAAGCAAAACTGAAGCTTTATAGCACAATATGCAAAGAGCCTTAGATTTCTAATTAGGGTCTATGTAATATTGATTGTGTGATAATTCGCCAAATTGCTTTTACCCTGTCATAAAAGGATTGATAGAAAAATTAATACAGTTAACATTATTGTAGGGAGAAAGGCTATGAAATTAAATTGTTTTAAGGCATTTAACATTGCTTACCTATCCAGATGCATTAATCATCATACTAACATCATAATGTTAGCATGTACTAATAGATTATACATCTTTGTTATACAAGGACCATAAAAATTTAGAATCAGAGGATTTAACTTAGGAAAGTCAATCATTAGCTCTTAGGACTGTGTAATAGTAAGTGCATGACTAACAAACTACAACTCTTTTAAGAAAGCCTATAATTAAGACTTTCTACTGATTCAGAATAGTACATTTCTTGGGATGAATAATGTTTTATTAGAAAATAAAATTAGTTAATAGTACTTAAAACATCCGTGAGTGTGTGTGTGTCAGGCCAAAAAACACGCCTAAAGACATACACATAAAAGTAAGCAATTATTGTAGAAATCAAAGGAACATTGAAGGCGTTAAGGTTCTACCCTCAGTCCTATTATACTCGGCATCCATTTTTCACCCACCCACCTACCAACTCACCCTCCCATCCATCCAATGAGCACCAAGCAACCAGTGGGGGAAACAAAGAGGTAACCATTAATACAATACAGTGTGAAGATGAAAAACATGAAGCACTATGGGAACACTAAGCAACTGCAATAAATTGTTAAAAATATGGAATGAAGGGTGTACACAGAACAGAAAGACATGTTTTTATTTGAAAGAGATAAATGTATCTTTAATTAGCATAGGATTCCAGTTAAAATTTGCTCAATGTTTATAAAAAATGGCCCTAAGTTTTCTATCACTTAGCTTATCTTGTCATTTAGGAAACGAACTTGGCTCAGTTTAGCATCTTTGAACTGTATTCTTTTTTTTAAATTGTATTTTTAAGAAAGTGAAATTCAGTGATGTCAATTCACAATGGCACTAACTAAAAACTTATGCTTCCCTTAAATAATTACCTTTCTCCCCAACAAAAAGTTCCTAATCATACTGGTGAGCCAAACAACCATGATCGTTGTCCTTGTGGCTATAATTCTTAGGTCCTTACCACTCCCAACCCCTCCTCTGAGAATGTCTTTCAAGAGTCAATGTGCTCTTTTTTTTTCCAATGTGCTCTTCTTAAAAGTTAATATTGCAAGTTTTATAGTTAGCATACAATAAACATACACACAGGTTTATGCACAAAGACGCTCATGGTAGCATTATTTACAATAGATACATTTGGGGAGATGTCTCTCCCTCAATGAATTTCATCTGAAATATTAGTAAAAACGTTATGGCAACTAATTTGACTCCAGCAAATATATCATTATATTGATTGGAAGGATAAGCACATTCAAATATCAATTGACAAATTATAAAGCAAACTATGTTCAAGTGAAAGTTCAATTCAACTTTATATATTGTATGCAAATAAAATTATTTCTAAATAAAAATAACTGCATAAATAGTAGGTATACCTAAAATATTATCTGAAAATGAGCAGTATTTGATGATCCTATATTTATTTAGGAACTGCAAAGATGTAGCCAGCAGGGGGTGCTGGAAACATTTTGAAATACTTTTATGCCTTCTGTTGGTGAACTGAACTTTAAAAAAAATGGCATTAATAAGTGAAATAAACCAGTCAATGAAAGAAAAATACCACATGATCTCATTCATTTGTGGATAATAAAGAACATTATAAACTGAAGAACAAAAAGATAGATACAGAGATAGTAAAACAACAAACAATCAAATTTGGAAGGACTTGTATGCATGCATATAAGCATAACCAATGGATGCAAAACACTGGGGAGTGAGGACATGTATGGAAGTGGGGTGAGGGGGGGGGGGGTAAAGATAAGATATGTAAACATATAATACCTTCATAAAAAATGGGGAAAATGGCATTGAGAAATACAGATTGCCAGTTATAAAAAAGTCATGGGGATGTAAATTACAGCACAGACAATACAGTCAATAATATTGTAATATTGTATGGAATCAGATACTGTACTGTACTTATTGGGGTGATCACTTCATAATCATTATATTATATACCTGAAACAGTTATTTTATATCAACTGTAATTTTTATTTTATTTTAAAGAAATACAACTTACTAAAACAAAGAACTGGAGAGAGGCAAATGGGCACAGTCTTCGCCTTTCATAAAAAAGGACTCAAACCCTAGTCTGTGGACTGAAGGATCCAAGGTTCCATTCTGGACAAGGGCACATGCCCAGATCGAGGTTGTGAGCTCAATCTCCAGTTGGGGGTGTGCAGGAGGCAGCTGATCGATCAATGATTCTCTCTCATCATTGATGTTGCTATCTCTCTCCCGCTCTCCTTTCCTCTCTAAAATCAATATTTTTTTTAAATGACTCAATAATATTTTTTAACCTGAAACACAGTGGTAAAAAAAAAAAATCAAACAAAATCATTGTTAATATCAGTGTCATACATGTGATCTGTAGTCAGTTTCTTCAACTATCCTTGAACTTTGGAAAACAGGATTATAAAAAATATAAAATGTTCTGAATGATAAAAATCATGACAAAATATGTAAGAAATGTCTTTATTAGCTATACCCTTCAAATGGAAGGTGCAGGGAAGGTATAATTTTCCTTTAAGAATAAGCAATATGGCCAAAACCGGTTTGGCTCAGTGGATAGAGAGTCAGCCTTGGACTGGGGAGTCCCGGGTTTGATTCCGGGCAGGGGCATGTGCCTTGGTTGTGGGCACATTCCCAGTATGGGGGGTGCTGGAGGCAGCTGATCTATGTTTCTAACTCTCTTTCTCCCTTCCTCTCTGTAAAAATTTAATTAAAAAAAAAAATATATATATATATATATATATTTTTTTTTTTTTTTAAAGTATAAGCAATATGGCCCAACCAGTGTGATTCAGTCAACCAATGCATCAATAGGTTTCTGGTTTGATTCCCTGTAAGGGCACATGCCCAGGTTGCAGGCACGATCCCAGGTGGGGACATGCAAGAGGCAGCCAATCGATGTTTCCCCTATCATCGATCTTTCTATCTCTCTCTCCCTCTCCCCTTCTTTCCTCTGTCTATAAAAGTCAATAAAAATATTTTTAAAATAAAAAATAAGCAATCTAGAGGTCAAATATGAACACATGTCAGTTTCACTTCATATTAGGTCATGACTATACTAATTTCTCCTTTGCTGCTCTATTTCATAATCTTATCTTTACCGCGAAAACTTTAATCTGGAATCACTCTAGGGACCCTAACCCATAAATATCAGACTGCCTGATGGTTTTGTGATATGGGAAAAAGCTAAAAATGCCTAACATATTAGAATATGGAGATTTAAGTCAGAAAATTAAACTCAGGTCTCCAGAGGGTAAAAGTTTTTTCCAGATGAGTTCAAGTTTCTTATCTTATTTGTGCCTTTGAGGAATAAATTCTTTAAGACACAAAAGTTTATCTCCAAAAGAAATTTTCCATGAATACCAACAATTTCATACTCTTTAGAGGCATTCAAAGTTGACAAAGACCCCTTCAGGGGCTTGCTAACATCATTAATAGTTCAGTTTAAAGTGTGCTCCTGACACAATAAACATGTCCTCTATGCTTCCTTCCATCTGCAGCAGCCCACAGGCAAGTCTCTGCCCCCAACTGCTGACAGAAATGTTCAGACTTCGGCATACAAGCAAGACTGCAATTAGAGAAAGAGAAGCAGTATATAACAGAATAGCACTTATTTAGTTCCCAAAGCCTCCAGAAAGTTCCCAAAGCTTGGAAAACAGATTTTCCTCTCTTGTCATAATAGGATGCTAAGTCTCTGTGTAGGACACAAAGAACATACATACATACATTACATACATACATACACACACACACACACACACACACACACACACACACACACATTTGGACCTATCACCAAGGACTTTAAAATCAAGCTCCCATCTTTGCTTCAGTCTTCCCTCTCCTTTCCCTACTGAAACTTCCCATCTTGATGATGCTCACTTCATGCCTTTTCAGATTCAATTACTCCTCTGGAATCCCACCCATCACTCATAGGACTATGTGGCTGAAACATGTAAACAGGAGCTATTATGCATTCGTCCCTGCACTAAGCCCCGTGTTACCAAAAATAAAAAATAAAAAGATAGTTTATGATAAAGAGGACATTATAAAGCCTTGGTAGAAAACTAAGAAGAAGGGCTGATCACCCCCAACTGCCCCCCCTTTCAGGCCTGGTTCCTCCCAACTGCCCTCCCCTACTGGCCATCTTATGGCAGCCATCTTTTGTCCACATTGGGGCAGTTGATGGGCTGCAGGAGTGCACTGACCACCAGGGGGTCCTTTGTTGAGTGTCTGCCCCCTGGTGGTCAGTGCATCATCATCTCGATCGTCATAACAACCAGTCAATCACTTAGGCGCGCGCGCGCGCGCGTGTATGTGTGTGTGTGTGTGTGTGTGTGTGTGTGTGTGTGTGTGTGTGTATCCCACTCCTGGGGCCCTCAAATATGTAA